TTTTTTTTTTACCATTTGTATCATGATCAGATGTAATCACAGCATTGCTCGTCTGGCTCTGAGCTATTAATGACCAGCGCCATAACAAATAAACACACAAAACACACAACATAGTTATTTTCTAACCTCGACTTTTAACTAAAAAATAACCACGTTTTATGTGTATGGTATTTACATAGTGTGTGTGTGTGTGTGTGTGTGTGTGTGTGTGTGTGTGTGTGTGTGTGTGTGTGTGTGTGTGTGTGTTAGGTGGTTGACGGTTTCTTTGTGAAGAGAGTGCAGGATGTGAGGGAGTCGGCGGCGTACCTCACCATCATGACACGATTCCTGACTAAACTGTACCAGGTAAACACAAAAAGATACATGTTCCAATTTTACATTGTGGAGTTAAAAAACTCTAACACACTGGGTGTGAGTGGAGCCACCTAGTGGTGGGGTCTCCTATTAGTCCAGGACCCTGGGCTTAAGCAAACGGCTGAACCTGGGAGGCAGAGAACTGGTAGAGGAAGCTCTGTCCTGAGAATGAGGCTGGTGTGGGCGGTCAGGAAAGGCTGAAGAAAACTCGAGCTCTGTCGGTTGAGCGGCGCTCTTAGGGGGAAAACCCTTAACCCTGTGGAAGGTGGGCGGCTGCGGCGGGGGAGCTGGGCTGTCACTACTTGATTGTCCGCAATAATGTGTGCGGGTTTAAGTTTATCAACACATATAGTCTCCCTATGTCGAGTCTCAGACGCATGGTGTCCTATGGGCATCATGCCTGACGAAAACAAACTTTCTAAAGTTTCTGAAGTCTTTTGGGCAAAGGTGCACCAGACCAGGAGCACGAAGCAAGTCCACTTGAATCAAAGCACTGGGGTGGGGGCACCAAGATCCTCCTTAACTGCAGAGCGCAGCCCCAGCAAAAGCCCACTGGAGGTGGTCCAACCCAGTTGCCATCTGTTAGAGAAGCATGGAGCACAGCCTTAAGCGACCTGTGAAACTGCTCGCACATCCTGTTAGCTTGTGGGTCATCTGCAGTGGTGCGGTGGATCCTGACCCCCCGTCAGTCATGGCAGACTAAAGCTCTGTAATGAACTGAAACGCGAAACCCAATTTGTCAAAAATGGCCTGGACACCACCGCCGCAGCTGAGGATGGCAAGGGGACCACCTCTGGCCACTGGGTGGTGCAGTCAACCACAGTTAAAAGGTGCATGAAACCTTGCAAGTGTTTCATCCTCGTTTCCCACTGTGTCGGTGTTGGTAAGATTTACATCTGAATATATGCTGTCACATTGAGATTAGGCAGCACCAGTTTCCACCTGTGCGCACGTCTCTACTGCATGACAACACTTGTTAGTTGGGCCATGAGGATCATGTTACTGTTAACATAACATAAAATCAGCCTTACATCTTTCTTAACTGTAACTTTTGCTTTTTTCCTGTTTAAACCTTTTTCAGAACCGAACGCTGATCTGTCGCTCCAGAGAGCTGGAGGGCGATGGAGGCAGTGACGAAGAGGAGAGAGGGCTCCCCTCCTGCTCCCTTATGTCTTTTGCAGAGTTCAACCACGGTGCAGTCAAAAACAAGGTGTGAATCTGCTTCAAAAGCCTGAATTAAACTGGTTGTCTTGGTGATCGTCTCTAATCCTGGCTTCACTCTTTCTTGCCCTGTAGTGTCAGACGGTGAGAGAAGTGTTTGCCAGACAGCTGATGCAGATCAGCGGATTGTCTGGAGACAAAGCAGCTGCTATACTGGAACACTACAGCACGCCACACAGGTAGCTGGTAGCACAGCATACTGCATACTCCACAGCTCACCGGGGTTCCTGATTTGCTTATCTTAAGTTAACAGCCAAGAGAGAGACGAAAATAAAGACCAGGAGGGATTATGATCTCCAATAGTTACAGTTCCTTATCTGTTGTCGCTGCCTGTTAGATTAGGGCTATTTCCTCCTGTGCGTCATAAAGAAGTGTACAATCAAATCAACAAGCAGCTTTGATCTGTTAACATTTTAAATGATGGCCAGTGTGGTCGTCTGCCACCAGGTGGAGCTGTTGTAGAGAATTCTGTTAATTTGTTTGTTATTAGTTATTTTGAACGTAAAAGAACGAAATCATGGAGCCAAGCGGCAGAAATGAGCTTTCTCCAAAGGGTGGCTGGGCTTTCTCTTAGAGATGGGGTGAGGAGTTCAGTCATTTGGGAAGGGCTCAGAACGGGTGGCCGGATGGATGATCTATTGTTTTGTTATCATTTCAAGTTTAAATTTTTGTTGAGGTAGTTGCCACATTTTAATAATACGTCTTTTGCATTAATGCATTTTCATATCATATCGTTTAGTGTGTGGCTTGTTTTTCTTCTTCTTTGTCTGGAGTGTATTGTGCACATCTGTAATCGGCACAGATTTAATTGCTCTCTGATCAGCAGGCAGCTTGTTCCAAAAAAACACACTAACTGAAGGCACCCTCAGGATATGTGGATCTGATTGCAGGAATATTTAAAAGATCTGCACCTAATGTTTAAAAAAATCAGTGTGGCAGTAGGTCATTAGATGCTGACTGAATAGCATGGCCCCAGAACAAAATAACGAAATATGTCAGAGCAGTAAAAAGGGCATAAGACACGCTGTGTCTCCATACTAATGTAAGATATGAAGGATTATTTATTAAATCTTTGTCTTTTCTGTCATTTTCAGTCTTCTGACAGCATATGAACAGTGCGCAAGTGAAGCAGAGAAAGAGAAACTCCTCTCCTCGATCCGATACGGGAAGCTCAAAAGGTTTGTAAATACAGTTTCACATTTCTTCCTGGCTTCTTCCAGTGGTGTTTGTAGTATTTGAGTGTGACCAGAGATGCCAGGCCTGAGGAAGGGGCTCGTAGGCAGAAGTACCTTGGGTGTGTGTGTGAATGCTTCATGCTTTCTCCTGTTGGCTTGTTTTTCAGGAACCTGGGTCCAGCTTTGAGCAGAACAGTTTATCAGCTCTACTGTACACAAGGAGCTCTGACATGAAGGCGGCCCTGGAGGTGGTCCCAAAGTATGCTCAACAATGTGAATTATACAGTCATTAACTTTTAGGTCCTCCTTTACTTGAACAGCATCATTTTGAGTATGATTATGTAAAAGTGTATATAAAAGTCAAGACACTGCTATATTTTGATATTAATAAAAGATTCCTGTTTGAAGAAGTTCACACGGCCCATTAGTGCACAAATAAAGTTTATTTTAAATAACTTTTTCTAGTCAGAATCCAAATCCAGTGCCCAGACGCTGAAGTCTTAAAGCTGTAAGCCAGCTTGCATCTTTCCAGCTTGTCCAGCGTTACTGCTCATTCGTGCACACTAATGGGAGTGAAGCCTGCGTACCCAGGAGGTCTTCAGGAGCTGCTATTACCTGATAAGAGCTTTTAACACATCAAACATGAAGAGCCAAAGTTTAACCTTAATTTGAAAACTGCATTTCTGAGCATGGTAAGTATTAGATTGCTACACGGCCACAGGTTTTATCGATGAGTTTACTCACTGCTGGTGAAATTAAACGATTAAAACTCATATCTTTGTACAGCTGTCTAATATGGGCGATGAGGTCTTTTTTTCTTATCGTCTTTACCTTGGGGCATCTGTTGTTTTGAATTCGCGCTATTTAAATGAAATTAAATGATTGAATTTCTTAAGGACGTAACTACGGATGCCGCTCATCAACTCTATAGTTTTTTTTTAGGCCTGTTGCTTCTTTGGTCCTTCACTTACCAGGTCTTCCCAAATTTTTTTAAGGACACACCAATGCTGACACATGCTACGTCAACTAAGGGAATCAGCTTGGGAGTCAACTTGTTGGTGCAAAAATACTTTTATTCCTGGTAAACTGTGTCCTCTTTACCATTTTTAATAGAGTCGACCAAAGAAATAAGGACAAATGTATTTTGTGATGGGCTGCTGGTGAAGATCCTAAAGATACTACTCTTTTTTTTTTTCCCATGGACCTCCGGCCCAAAAACAAAACACGATGTGACATCGCTCTGTCTTGTGACAATGGAGTTTAATCCCAGAAAACAATGAATATCATATTTCAGTGTCAGACCCATAGAATCGATCTCTGACATTCACCCACTTTACAGAAAGAAGTCAATCAGTGATCCAAGAGGCAGAGACAGACTGCTGCATGCCGACTGAAGCACTGTTAGACCAGAGCGCAGCACGGGAACTGTTTGTGGCACGATCACAGTGAAGAATAATTCAGGGCTGGATTACTTTCTCAGTTTAATTCTGAAATAAATATACAGACAACAAAAACCCGGTATGTTTAGTGACACCTGACAATCCCCCAGCAATGACGAGAAGAAACTAATGGCAGCATAGAAGGGAGAGTTTAAAAAAAGAAGAGGGGAGGGCTCGCTGTCTTTATCTCCTGAACAGGTCAAGATTTTTATTTTCACGGTTAGACTTAATGCAGATATGTGTTAGCTTCTAAACTCTGCTCAACTCCTTACTTCTTCAATCAAAAACCCAAGCCGTCAGTTTAATGTTAAGGATGCTACATCACCTTAAAATTGCAGTCACACAGATTGCATTCATAAGATTGAGGATGGTAGAAAGATTGCACAGCCAATCAAAAATCAGGAGTGCATGATTGACGTTTACTTTTTTACTCCCACCCACTCTCGTCACCGCTATGGTCCCTAACTTGACAAGTTGTGTTATTTACAAAAACAAAAACTAAACAGGAATAGAAAAATCCAACGAGTCAAACTGGGTTCCTCCTGGAACATAGTAACAAAGTGCTATTTCCTTTTCTTTTTAAAGAAAAGATGCTTTTTTTCTTCAAGGGTAGTCTTAAAGCAATGCTTGCAGAGTGCACGAACGCTTTGGAAAACAGAACTTTACTCTTTCCTCCCGTTTGGGGTGGCTGTGAAGAAGTTCCCTCTTAGCAGAACTAATTCGTTTAAACAACTTGCATGTTTGGGGCAGAGTATTGGGGATCGTGTAGTTTTGCACGGCCCTACATATAAGCTCTGTGAATCTTTTCTCCAAATGTGCAATCAGAAAGCAGCCCAACAGCTGCTTCAATGCACTGACACACAAGTATTGCTCCAAGGCAGCCCTGAACAAAAAAGATAGAAAGAAACTTTTCCTCTGAGCCCCACACCCTTGTTTTTTTTACACCTAAATGATGAAGAGAGAATTGAAAGGACAGGGTTACATTGATCCCTGTATGGAGCCTCTCCAATGGTCCCCGTCACAAACCCAAAAAGTGTTGATTTTGTTTTTGACATCCTCTGAACATAAAGCAAAGATCTACAGCAGTTCAGAGATAACATTTAAAGTCTACACGCATCCAGTTCTCACTGATGTCAGCCTGAAGTTTAGATCCAATAGAGTCTTGGATGTTTCCTCACCACGGATACAACTGGGAGTCAGCAACAACACTGTGGCTCCAGCGAGAGGTGAAAAACAAAGCTGTCCCCTCGTGGGTTCTACGATTTCACCCTTTAAAGGCAGCAAGTCAGGAGGACAGCGGGGATCTTGGATCCATCGCCGTTTTAGTTCAGGTGGATTGCCCGTGCTGGGCATGCTGATGCACAATTCAGGGTGGGGGGGCCAAAATCCTTCAGTGGAGAGTGGATTTAAAACAAAACAAAAGAAACAGTCTCTGAAGCGGTTTTGGCTTTTTTAGTTCGGCACCCACGACTGCTCATGCTTTGACCCGCCATTAGTCCGGCATGTCGATGCAGAGTTTGGGTGGCGGGACGAAGTATTTCCCGGGGCTCTGCGTGATCACCACGCCGGTCTTCTTGTGGAACATGGGGGCAATCTTTGGCGGCGGTTCAGGGACGGGCAGATCCTCGGCCGCCTCGGGGTCCTCACTACGTTGAAGGTCATAGGACACGTTGCCGTACTCTCGCAGGAAGGGAAGGAGCTCCAGCAGAAAGTGGCAGAAGTCCTTCCGGATGCCGAACCACCCTGATCGGAAATAAGGACGGAGCAGAAGAGAGAAACAATGAAAAGCTTTTTGATTTGCAGACAAAGTTTAATATTATTAAAATATGACCAGATAAATAATTAAAAGGAAATTTACCCTCCTCTCATTTACTCTCAGGTCAATCAAAAAGTCAAAATATAATCTTTTCATTTATTTTTCCTCACATTTTACAGACCAAATGATTTACAGAACCAGCAGCTTCATAGAACATTATTTGCTGGAGTCCGAGAAATGACAAACATCGAAAGATAAAAGCTTTAATGAAGCTATATTAAGGAAAAGTTGTGCGATTTCTGAAACAGCAGCAGCAGCAGGGACCACAAGTCCAGCTGCAGATACTCACAGTGGTTTCCTCCCTTTTGGCCGAAGGTGGTGGCCATGAGTGTGAGCAGGGAGAGCCACAGAGGGACGAACACGCACACGTAGCTCAGGCTGTTGTGACCGTCTAGCTTGTGCACCAGAAGGATCTGTAAAGACATGTGAATGTTATCAGACATCCTGCTGCTGGGAGGAAAAAACATGCATGTGTGCAGCGATTTTTGACTCTACCAACCAGACACCACAGGAGC